GATAAGACCAGAACACCTGAAGAACCTTCCGCCAGTCCTCGTAAACACACTGGTTAGGCTCTTCACATGTTACCTGTCTGAATGCAAGGTCAAGTGGAGTTTTCCCACTCAGTGGAAGACCAACGAGACCGTGTTATTGTTCAAGAAGGGCGATCTGCACGATATCGGCAACTATCGGCCAATCTCCTTACTGTCCGTCGTCTAAAAACTTTTCGCTCAAAACAAGATTGACAGAACACTGGACGAAGGGCAGCCATGTGAGCAAGCAGTGTTTCGAAAAGGATTTGGTATGATGGACCACATCCACACGATAACAGGCTCATTGAAGTACCGCGAGAGTACAAACGGCCGCTCTGTCCCACTTTCATCGATTTGCAGAAGGCCTTTGATTTAGTTGAGATCGTTCAATAACAAGGGAAATCCTCACATTTCCTCTGTTGAAATTGCTACGTCTTAGTGAAAGTAACTAGAGCCCCTCGCTGCACTTACGAACGAGAGTGTTTTTAATACTTACAGTGAATGAAGTTCGTTTGAAAAACAAAATTCCTTGTACCTAACAATTCTGAGTGACATTGTGTTTCGTGCTCCATCGATGCTCGCTGTGCACTCAGTTTCTACGGTAATCCGTTCATTGCTACAGACCAGATCTTCCACCATGTTGTCTAACTAAGAGGCCATCACTTATTAAGAAAGCAGAAAGCAGTTAAAATTTCAAACTATTCTACACGATTTTCCTTCTAATATGGTGAACACTTATGTTGCTCCTACTTTGCAAATACTTTTTGTCTCCGGCTGCTGCTTATTTTTTCCTGAACACAGCAGAAAATCGATAAAATCTTCGGTACGACTTTATCTAGAACCAATATTCATGCCACGCTTTTCTTTAAAGACACAACTTATACAACGCCATGGTTTCCCTTGTCTCTGGTTGTTCGTAATTGCAGTTAATGTGTATCTCATTGAGCATACAACAACCATCAGTTAGCCTACTGGCCCTAGCCATTTAATCATTCCTAAAAACTAAATTCGTCCTTGCAGGAAGACCTTGTTATCTATGCGAAAGACTTGTAATCGAGAGGATCTGTATCACCTGTAGTCTCGTTGATCGCTGAGTGACTCGAGCGGGCGCCAGTAAATCTTTTTTTCCCTGTTGCGTGCAAGAGTAGCCCAGTGGGTTCTGCTCGCTCTAGGGACTCGTTGACCATCATACCTTTCTTCCACGCATTTTGAGAAGAACTCTGGCCATCGGGTCAGTGGTCATCCTGGAGTACGTTTAACATCCCAAGGAAGCTAGTTATTATGGCTTTTGTCCATCAGTTGTCGTTCATTTCCATTAGGTGCCCGGATTACTTTATCTTCGATAGTTTGGCGTACTAACCGGCTTCTTTCATTTTTGATCGTTGACGCAGGTCGGAGCTTCGCATCCCTTCCCTTATTTGTGTGGCACGAGATACTCCTAATATCGTCTTTTCAACTCCGTGTTCAACAGCGGTGAGTGGTCCTTCATTCTGTTTATGCAGCGACCAGGATTCGGTGACATACGTCACGACAAAAGGAATCGTGGATTTGAAAAGGTAGACACGGAGTTGGGTGTTCTTTGTTCACCCTCTACATCTTGGATGCTCTTGAAATCTCCTTAAGCCGCTCGTTTCCTCCTGCTCAACTCTAAAACTAAGTCCTTCAACATGTTGATTTTCCGACCATACCTAGACAGAAGCAGCTGGAGCATTAGGCGATATTCGTTCCATTGAGCGTAAATGGGACATACGTAACCCATCCGTTCCTCATGAACATCGTTTTGAGATTTAGCCAGAGACCAATCTTTTCACAGGCATTATCAAAATCGGCCAGCATTCGTTACGTTTGACTAATGTTTGGTGTTATAAGCACGATTTCATCAGCAAAACGAAGATGATGTAACTGCCGACTATCGATTTTCACTCCCATATTATCCCATTTCAATGTTCGCATGACGTTCTGAAGGGTGGCGGTAAATAATTTTGGCGAGATGGTATCACCTTGCCTAACACCTCTTTTGACGTCAATGTTAATATCGTTGTAGAATGGTGATATCTTGGCTGTCGAATTTTTGTACAGCTCACGAAGAATATTTACATTCTGAGTAGGAACTGTCTGACTATCCAGGGCTTCTATGATGCTTCTATGATGCCAGGGAATGAGCACGTAACAAATTCATTGAAGCTGGGAGGAAGGAACAAAGAAGTGGACGTTGAAAAGCCGACAATAACATTGAAAATGGGGAAAAGTGAACTAGTAGGCATTTTGCTTCCTTAATACGCCTACAAAACACTGTCATAAACCTTTGTAATGGCTAACCTTTCAAGGTCTTCGTCTTTCTCAGAGCCGGATTGATCTCAGCCGATTGTTCACAGTCGTGCGTCCTTGCGATGTGGTTTTTCATAGTCGTGTCGAGCCGAATCCTCTGAAATTAAGGACCTCTTTAATGAGAACCTCACTCAGCAATGCTCCTTTTATTCCAGACGTTTCTTGCTGATTGTGCACTTATAACTCTAAGTGTTCATGAAAACAATCCATCTTGTAGAAGCCGGTGTTGTATCATCCAGCGAGCATCTAATCAGTATTTTTAGAAACTTAATGATTATAATTAGAGGCCTTAATCACTTAATAGTAATATATCCCTCAATTTTTATCCTACAAAATCCTTCTTTCACATCTACTGTGCTGGTCCCGGCACTTCTTACATTCGATTCCTTTCCTAAGCAAATCTAATTCATTTCAATTCTATTTAAAAGAGAGACCTTAAAGAATAACGGCGATACCATCATGGCAGTAGCATGTCTCATACAGAAGAATCCAGGTTTTTTTAACAGGAATATACTACTTCATTGACGGAGATCTCCAGATTTTGGTAGTTTTTGTTTAGGCAGAGCATTCACTATGAAATGAGCATGTTTGATGAGGTGTGCAACAGCTTCCGAGCATTCTTGATGCTTTAAAAATCAGTGAGCAGTCTGAAAATTCGGCCACCTCAATGGAAGGAAGATACCCACTCTAAATACCTTTACAGAATCCAAAACGAGTGTTCTGCGACTCTTGAGGAATATTCTAGATCGCGAACCTAAGCGGAGCATATGGCAACCACTTTGGTTATTCTCAATCGACTACTCATTGAGAGTGATAAGATAGAAGCTTAGGCTGTAGAATAAGCTCTTATTCTTTTAGCGTTTTTAGAAAAAGAATGAAGACGTTTCTGATGAAATTAGCAGCAGTACCTGATCTATCAACATGTTGGCCCATAACCCACTTAGTTATCGATGTCATTGAAACCGCTGATACTAACTTAAGTTATTCAAAATGTGCTTAAGAGGTAGGTGAACCTATAGAATTTATTGCATTCTGGTAGTGATTCCGCCGTGGTTGGAGAATTGACGCGCAGTTTAGCGATGTAGCTTCTCTACGATATGCTGGTTGATGGAAGAGATCTGTACACCAATAATTAGTCCCATACAAAAATATCTTAACTCAGAACATAGTGCTGGACAGCTTCCTGATAATCTCAGGCCTTGGAGAGGACAATGGATTGTATAGTACAGCAAAATAGGGGTCGTACAATAGCGTTGAACAAGAAAGCTACGAGTGCGTTATCATGGAATCCACAAATCATGATGAAAGTATTTTACTAATTCAAGAAGGCGATAGGTTGTTGAAAGTTGTAATTAAGAAAAGCAATAGGTGAAGACAAGCAATATGTGGCGCTAGGTGCGACTGTTTTCACCCTCTCGCCACTTAAGCAGATTTTTTGAATAAATGGAAATCTACAGCGGCCGCAAGCAGGAAACCTCACTAAATGCCCTCAGTGTGCCCAAGTATGGTTGATTGTTGATTTACATTGGAAGTGGGGTGGTTGCACACCGTTAACTTCTTATTCCATCAAAAAAGGGCTAGTAGCAGACGCAGAACATGGAGATTTGTAGAGTGATAGAATGAGATGTCAAAGCATCACTATTGCACACACACACGCACACACACTAAAACATCCTACGCAGGTAGCACTAGAAAATAAAGCTTCGTACACAAATTTTATCACGCATCTCTATCATATGAGGGATTTCGAGCCGGTTAGACGCGAGGCTACGTGACGCGTTCCTAGGTGGCGGATAGGGGGTTAATCGCGGACAAAAAGCGACCTTTGCTTCCCTGAGACGCAGGTGGATCCACCAGATGGCCTCTATGCTTCTGCTGCGCCGATTTACCACATACTTTCTGTATTTGCTAGGCGTATTCATGCATGCGTGTGTGGATGCGTTCTTGCTTATGCGGATTGTATTCTACGAGTCGATTTGGCCAGAAGCCTGCAATCAAGTGAATGGGAAGTATATGGGAGGCGGTTAGGAGTCGCCTCCAACAAATAAGCTCCATGTCCACTCCGGGAGAGCCTAGCAAGCTACCCGTGAGTATACTCAGTCCTCACGTTCAAAACCCAGCAAGCAATACGTGGGTACCAAAAATGCTAAACACAGTAAAAAAAACAGGCCTCATTCCCTTGACCCCGAAAGAGCCCCAATTTCGCAGCGTTGGGCAGGACGAGTACGGAGAGGCTGTTAAAATCTTACGGTCAATGGAAGATGCCTGGATTACAAAGAACTATGGTGACGATCTGTACCTACAGTTCAACTACACTTGCTTCCGAGTCCTCGATAGATGACATGCTCATGCAAGCAAGAAGGATAAGGTACGACGTCATTGGCGTGGCCGAGACGAGACGACTTCACCTATTCAACCCCGTCCATGACACCGGAGAAGAACTGTTTCTCGGAACATGCGATAGTAGAGGCGTCGGCGGCGTCGGCTTTCTCGTCAGCACGAGTTTGTCCGTGAACATCGATTCATTAGAACAGCTTACAATCCGCATCTGACGTTTACGATGAAAAAGATGTGGATCAACACTGGCTTTGACAATCTTCGTCCTTTACTCGCCGTCATCAAACTATGACGAAGAAGAAGCCGAAGCATTCTAAATGGACCTAGAGAAGCTCTACAGAGAAGACCATACATTCTTCAAGGTCATCATTGGAGATTTCAGCGCCAAGATAGGACCAAGAAGAACGTGTGAAGAGCGTCACATTGAGACCCATGGATTAGAATGGAACAAACCGATTGAGCGGCTAACTGAGTTTATCATGACGACCAAGACATCCATGGTAACTCGCAATTCCAGATGCCCCACCCTCAACACTGGACATAAGCGTCTTCCAATGGAGAGNATGCTCATGCAAGCAAGAAGGATAAGGTACGACGTCATTGGCGTGGCCGAGACGAGACGACTTCACCTATTCAACCCCGTCCATGACACCGGAGAAGAACTGTTTCTCGGAACATGCGATAGTAGAGGCGTCGGCGGCGTCGGCTTTCTCGTCAGCACGAGTTTGTCCGTGAACATCGATTCATTAGAACAGCTTACAATCCGCATCTGACGTTTACGATGAAAAAGATGTGGATCAACACTGGCTTTGACAATCTTCGTCCTTTACTCGCCGTCATCAAACTATGACGAAGAAGAAGCCGAAGCATTCTAAATGGACCTAGAGAAGCTCTACAGAGAAGACCATACATTCTTCAAGGTCATCATTGGAGATTTCAGCGCCAAGATAGGACCAAGAAGAACGTGTGAAGAGCGTCACATTGAGACCCATGGATTAGAATGGAACAAACCGATTGAGCGGCTAACTGAGTTTATCATGACGACCAAGACATCCATGGTAACTCGCAATTCCAGATGCCCCACCCTCAACACTGGACATAAGCGTCTTCCAATGGAGAGTACCATAACGAAATAGACAACGTTACAGTAAACAGAAGGTTTTGCCTAACCGATGCCACTGTTGTCTTAAAATTCTACACGAGATCAGACCATCGTCTCCTTCGCGCAAGATTCTATTTTTTGCGAAAAAAGATAAAAAGCCGCTAAATTCCAAAACCGAAGTCCTAGAACCACCGCAAACTGGGACTTATTCAATTCATTAGTCGGCTGTTGGGAAGATGCCGTTATCGATAGCATCGACGAAGAATACGATCGGCTCATTCAACATCTTCACGCTAGCGCTATGAAAGCTCGGAGTTCGAAAGTCACCAAGAGACGTCTGTCTCCAGAAACACTCCAGCTGAAGTGCCAGCGGGGAATCGCACGTGCTGCATCAAACCCGAACTAACGTCCGAACTTGCAAAACAATGCGAACAGGCGACAAAAGAAGATCTTAGAGAGGGAAGAGCAGTAGTAATTGCCGAAGCTGCAGAGGCTGAGAAAAGCATTCGCAAAGCCAACCGAAACTTCGCCAATTAGGAGACCAAGATGATTGCACTCCAACGCCCAGACCGAAGAGTTACAGCATCCAGAAAGGCAATGGAAAAAATTATTCACGAATACTACTCAGATCTCTTCGATAGCCACGTCCACCTTCCGTCATATGGAATAAAGGAGGATGGATATGTTGTCCTACCGGTTATCCCTTCCGAGATCCGACATGCCATTATGTCGATGAGAAATCGAACAGCACCAGGTCCGGACAGCTTAAGACCAGAGCACCTGCAGAACCCTTCGCCAGTCCTCGTAAGTGGAAAACCAACAAAACCGTGTTATTGTTCAAGAACGGAGACCTACATGATATCGGCAACTATCGCTCAATCTGCTTGCTGTCTGACGTCTACAAACTTTTCACTCGGATCATCCAAAACAATATTGACAGAACACTGGACGAAGGGCAGCTATGTGAGCAAGCAGGGTTTCGAAAAGGATTTGGTATGATGGAACACATCCACACGATAACAGGCTCATTGAAGTACCGCGAGAGTACAAACGGCCGCTCTGTCCCACTTTCATGATTTACAGAAGGCCTTTGATTTTGTTGAGATAGAAGCAGTCTTGGAAGCCCTTGATAGTCAAGGAGTCCCTGCTAAGGACATAAAGATTTTTCGTGAGCTGTACAAAAATTTCACAACCACGATGTAACCATTCTACGACGATATTAACATTGACGTCAAAAGAGGAGTTAGGCAAGGCGATACCGTCTCGCCAAAATTATTTACCGCCACCCTTCAGAACGTCTTGCGAACATTGGAATGGGATAATATGGGAGTGAAAGTCGACGGTCGACAGTTACAGCATCTTCGCCCTGCTGATGATATCGTCCTTATAACATCAATCATTAGCCAAGCGGAACGTATTTTTGACGATTTTGATAAAGCCCGTGGAAAGATTGGTCTTCGACTAAATCTCACAAAAACTCCGTTCATGAAGAACGGATTGATTTCGCATACCCCATTCACGCTCAACGGAACGAATATCTCCGAATGCTCCAGTTATATATCTCTAGGTCGGAAAATCAATGTGATGAACGACCTAGCTCCAGAGCTGAGCAGAAGAAAACGAGTGGCTTGGGGAGCTTTCAAGAGCATCGGGGATGTAGTGAAGAGAACAAAGAACACCCGACTCCGCGCCCATCTTTTCGACTGAACGATACTTCCTGGGTTAACGTATGCGTCAGAAACCTGGTCGCTGCGTAAGCAGGATGAAAGGTCAGTCAGCGTTATCGAACGCGCAGTCGAAAGGACGATGCTAGGAGTATCCCGTTCGACACACGTAAGGGATGGGATCCGAAGCTCGGATCTGCGTCAACGATCAAAAATCAAGGATGTCATTCTGTACGCCAAACAGTCGAAGATAAGCTGGGCCGGAGACGTAATGCGTATGAATGACAACCGATGGGCAAGAGCCGTTAGTGACTGGATTCCTCGGGATGCCAAACGTACTGCAGGAAAACTACCGTCCCGATGGTCAGAGTTCTTCACAAAGAGCCTTGAAGAATGATATGATGCTCGACGAGTCCCTAGAGCGAGCAGAACCCACTGGGCTACTCTTGCACGCGAAAGGGAAAGATGTAAGATTTACTGGCGCCCGCTCGAGTCACTCGACGATCAACGGGGCTACAGGTGATACAGGTGATTGGATAGCCCAAGAGTTCTAACACTTATTCGGTGCAATATTCAACTACTTAAAAAAACTATTCCTAACATTTTCAAGCGAGGCGGTCCCCAAATCGCTACATTACGTGGAATCTTCAGCATGAATGTCATGCACCCGATGACGTAGTGTTGCCCAGCAAACGGACTGATCGTCGCCATTGGTATCGCTCTGGTCGGCAGACCAGCGGCACCGCTCATACGTCCGTCCGAGCGGGCGGCGCGCAATCTACGAGCGTGCTCTGTGTCTCTGACGGCGGCGTTGAGCGGAGACAACCAGACATGTTGCGCGGCCACCTCGGTGACCCTGTTACACGTGGACTCGGTGTGCGTCGTTGACCTCGTTGGTCGGTTTGCCTGCTGGCGAAGTGCTTTGCTGCTGCAGGCCGTATGGTTGGTTTGAGTAATGAATTCGTCAATTCGTTCTCGTTTCTGTCAACTCTGCAACTGCCCAGAGCATCACAGTAAATATAAGGTGTTTTCTGCAAAACGGTTTTTACTTCCCAGCTTTTAGGGCATCGATTATAAAACATTGGTTCGAAGAGCAATGAGGTCTACTTTTCTGTTCGGATTCCTGTTGTTACACGCAGAAAGCGTCCATTGTGAAAAAGAAATAAAAGTATTTTTCTTGACTTCTTGACCTCTGACTGTTAAATACCATGTGGTTCACGAGTTGTTTAGGATGTCAAGTATGGGACTATTATTGGTATTGATCTCGGTACAACATACTCCTGTGTTGGTGTGTACAAAAATGGTCGTGTTGAGATTATTGCCAACGATCAAGGTGTGTCTTTTCGAGTTGTTTTATTTGGAACGTCTGCGAAGAACTAGAGAACAGTGACTGACACAGAAACGTTTGTTACACAAGTCGTCTGGTCATCTCGGCAGTAGGTTCGTGTACAGGGTAACCGTTCTGCGCTTGAAGCGTTCTCCAAATCAAATTAGTCAATGTGCGTAAAACGATGAATTATTGAAACGAAGAAGAGACCACTCACAGAGGCAACTCCTCGTTCTTCTTTCAAGAGTATCGCGGTCATCTGAATATTGTTCATTTTGATAGTAAAACTTTTGAAAGAACCCACCGAGTGTAATGTAATCATCAGTTCCTTATTTCAACCATTTTGAGAATTGGCTAGGAGTTGGCCATGATAACGATTCACCTCTCAAGTTTACGTTGCGGTGGGTTTCAGGAGTTCCCAATTCACTGAAGAACAAATTTCTCTTCAACGTAAAGTGGGTCAGATCTGCCTGTTTGTTACAGACGCCCTTTGTTTTCGTATATATTAAGGTGGACGAAGATGTTGCCCCACCTACCACAGATACTTGATAAAATGAACCATAAATTGTTACTTAAAATTTTTAATAGTGTCATGTGGTCATGCGTTTAATACTGAATGGTGTTCATGTTGAAGTGCTGAAGTTGACGCTTTTTTCGGTTGTATCACGCGGGACTTAGTTTACATGCAAGAGTATCTGTTTAAGGTAATCGTATCACTCCATCTTATGTGGCATTTTCGGGGGATGCTGGTGAGCGCTTGATTGGTGATGCTGCCAAGAATCAGCTTACCATCAATCCAGAAAATACTGTATTCGACGCGAAACGACTAATTGGTCGTGATTTTAATGACAAGACAGTGCAGGATGACATAAAGCTCTGGCCGTTCAAGGTTTGTGTGTAATATTAATCTGGGAAATCATTAGTTTAATAGATTGGGTTTTGTAAATGGTGCAGTATGTTAATGAACCAGTTAATAACTAAGCTGAGTTCTACAGTGATGCAGGTCCATGATAACTTTTGGCTGTAACTCAAGGTTATGGATCTAATGGGTCTCTTTTTGTTTTTTAAAGTCTCCTACTTTATGCTTCGACTATTATACCCTTATCTGTTGCATGCAAGTATGCATAGCTATGCTTTAAAGCCGTTTTATAGAGTGCTTTGTTCATCATGTACCTAAACGCAGTAATTGCCTGGATAGAGTAAAACCCACCGAAATAATTGACAGATTTGAAAATGCAAGTGAACGTGTTCCTTTATAGAATAACGTTTGTTTTAGGTGCAAGATAAACACAACAAACCTCACGTTGTTCTTAAAGTAGGCAAGGAAACAAAACAGTTCGCCCCGGAGGAGATTTCAGCTATGGTGCTGACCAAGATGAAGGAGATTGCCGAGTCATATCTTGGCAAAGAAGTGAAGGATGCAGTAGTCACTGTGCCTGCCTACTTTAATGATGCTCAGCGACAAGCCACAAAAGATGCCGGAACGATTGCTGGACTGAATGTTGTTCGAATCATCAACGAACCAACCGCGGCGGCCATCGCTTACGGGCTGGACAAAAAAGAAGGCGGGTATAATGCAACTGAATTCTTAAAATAATTTAATTTTATATTATTTTTCGGACAGAGTTCACCGATTAGGAGAATTAGGTACTGCTACGTAATTCGTAATTGAATGCGTTAATTAATTTTGAAATGAGGGTTAGATTCTCGGCTTCAATTAAATGCAAAGAATGCGATACATCATTGTCCATAGTTAAATTCTACTTTTCAGGAGAGCGTAATATACTAGTTTTCGATCTTGGAGGGGGAACTTTCGACGTGTCTATGCTGACAATCGATAACGGTGTATTCGAAGTGCTAGCCACGAACGGTGATACTCATCTAGGAGGAGAGGACTTTGATCAACGTGTAATGGAGTACCTTATTAAACTGTACAAGAAGAAGACTGGCAAAGACCTTCGGAAGGATAATCGAGCAGTGCAAAAACTTCGTCGGGAAGTTGAAAAAGCCAAGAGAGCGCTGTCAACGCAGCATCAAGTGAAAGTTGAAGTGGAGTCGCTTTATGACGGAGAGGACTTTTCAGAGACATTGACTCGTGCCAAATTCGAGGAGCTAAATATGGATCTCTTTCGTGCTACGCTAAAGCCAGTGCAAAAAGTTCTAGAAGACTCTGATCTTAAGAAGGAAGACGTACATGAGATTGTTTTGGTCGGAGGGTCGACCCGTATTCCTAAAGTTCAGCAACTAATTAAAGAGTTTTTCAATGGGAAGGAGCCGTCGCGTGGCATCAACCCCGATGAAGCTGTGGCCTATGGTGCAGCTGTACAAGCTGGGGTTATTAGCGGAGAAGAAAACACGGGAGATATCGTGCTGCTTGATGTCAATCCGCTTACGCTAGGAATAGAGACCGTTGGAGGTGTGATGACAAAACTTATTACCCGTAACACCGTGATCCCAACTAAGAAGTCGCAAGTCTTCTCCACTGCTGCTGATAATCAGCCCACTGTTACCATCCAGGTGAGCATAATCGGAAGCCAGTTTTTTCCTTTTCAATAGCGGTTGTTTTATAGTGAATTTTTTTATTTAGCACATGTTTGCTATCAGTTCTGATGGTTTGATTTAGGTATGTGTTGTTTGTTGTTTTTTAACATTTACATTTCTCAGGTATATGAAGGTGAACGCCCAATGACTAAAGACAACCATCAACTCGGTAAATTTGACTTAACCAATATCCCTCCAGCTCCTCGAGGTGTGCCTCAAATAGAGGTGGAGTGTGGACTTTTTCTATAATATTTCTGGTTTATGGCTTTTCTGAACTAACCAGGATTGTACAGGTCACGTTTGAAATTGATGTCAACGGAATACTTCACGTTACTGCTGAGGACAAAGGTACCGGTAACAAGAACAAGATTACCATTACGAATGATCAGAACAGACTAAGTCCTGAAGATATTGAGCGCATGATCAACGATGCTGAAAAGTTCGCGGAAGATGACAAGAGGATTAAAGAACAGGTATGCTTTGTAGCTACGCTATTTAGTGGTTTCCGTTTAGTCCATCAAGAGTTTACTTCATTCTTCCGTTTACTACTCCTACACTTGTTGGCAAGGAAACTGTAATGCATCCTATGTCTTTTGTTAGAGTGCTGTCAATTTTGCGGTATGTAGTAGCACGAAGTGTTTATTTATGCCTCGTAATACTACATGCTGCAAAATTACTTAGGAAGTTTATTGATTCGTCTTAATCTCTGCGATATATCAAATGTCATATTTTACATTCATAAAACTTTTTGAATGCCATTTTAGCTCCATATATTTACCCTTAGCTTTATAGGTAGAAGCGCGTAATGAGCTGGAGTCGTATTCATACTCATTGAAGAACCAGATTGCTGATAATGAGAAACTTGGTGGAAAATTAGATCCTGACGATAAAAAAGTTATTGAAGAAGCCGTTGAGGAGACAATAAGTTGGTTGGAAAGCAATCGCGATGCTTCCGTTGATGATCTTCATGAACACAAAAAAGTATGTGACGTAAGCTGTTGTGAAAGCTGATATTCTTACATGTGTGCTGTTTTCAGGATCTAGAAAGTAAAGTGCAACCAATTATTAGCAAACTTTATAATGAAGCAGGCGATGGTGCCGACGGAGTGTCTGCCGATGTTAAAGATGAACTTTGAACTTGTGTATGCCAACATATTGAATTCGTTGATTGTTGTCCAGAATGGAGCTTTGGTTTCATCTCGGTTGTATTGCTGTGCTATGCATTTCTTATCTAGCTTGTTGTTTAGTTAAATAGTACGGAGTATATTCCCAAAAATATACGCTTTATATACGATTCGTAATTTTTGTTAAGGTTTCATCCTTAATATCGTTATTGAAGAGTAAAGGTCAATACGAATAAAGGAAAAGTATTACCGATTCATAACTCCAGTTTTAAAGATTGGCTCCGCGCTTTAAAGATAAGCTTAACAGACGTCAACCTTTCGAGTTGTTCTCGTAACCTGGTGGTAGACTCCATAATCATTCAATTACTTTTGTTATATCTTTTGCTTACCATCTAAAGAATCCAAGATTCAATCTTGTCTGAATTTTAGATGTCCGTAACTTTTGACTGCTCAGGGTGTAAGTGCTCACTGTGAGGGTAAAGGTATTACATTGCTGCAGTGATGGATTTGATAGCCGTGATGTGATTGCTACAAATGCATACTCTTTGGAATAGGACACGTTACAGCTGAGTGAGCCGCTTAGAAATCTGCAGATGTATCATGAGCGACAGTCAAGACAGATGTGCCTCGTACATGCTTTGAATGCCTTGTTTCAAAAACCACAATTTACATCTCATTCGTTAGATGAAATATGTTACGCCCTCAATGGAAATCGATGGTTCAATCCACACAGGTATTCATTGTTACATGTAATTTGCCACTTATTGAATCGTTTAGTTCTTTGTTTTGACGCTTTCTCCACATTTTTTGTAGGTCATTTTTTGGACTCGGTAATTACGACGTGAACGTGTTGTTGTCAGCTTTGGACAAGTATGATTTCAAGGTGAGCGAAGGGCTAGTGTGAATTCGTAGTTTGATGTAGCAGAAAACAATCTTGTATGTGGTAATAGTTCAATTGGAGTGCATATAGTGACAACGTGCGCTCTCAATTACTTCACAAGATTTGCAGTAGTGTTATTTAAATTGTGTCCACTATTACTATAACAATGATTTCCTTTTTGGTTGCTTGGTTCGATAGTCGAATGCCAGTAGAGCGGATTCGTTTCGAAAATTTACATGCACTAATTGTCAATGTTCCGACCAAAAGCTACTTTCCTCTATGGAGAGGGCGGCATTGGTACACAATCCTTCGACAGGACGATGGCAAGTAAGTAACAGTGTTCCTTTATGTATTTCTTTCTTATTGCTTTCTAAGTCAAGTTTCAGTTTTGTTTCGCTTGTTTCAATACGCATTTTTTCGTCATAAAGTTCTACTGTTTTCCGATTATTTTAGTAGAGATTGTAGTGACATTGCTTTAAGTCGTCAAGTTACTGCTTTAATATCCTACATTACTGCATTCTCGGTTTAGGAGAAGTTATGTCAAATAACCGCTTATAAGAGTTGTTTTGTCCTAAAACAAACGGAATCTGGTTAAAAGTATATCTTTTGACGAAATACGATGAAAAACAAATATAGTTTAGGTTCGTTAATCTCGATTCAAAGCTCAATCAACCGGAAGAAATCCCTGATATTCCTGAACATTGTCGTAGTCTACTGAACAAATCGCATGAAGGAAATCAATTATTTCTTGTTGGTAAATGTGACCCATCTCTCTTTTTGTTACCCGAATAGGTAATATTAGCGTCTTCTTATGGTAATAACATTTTTGTTTGTATTTGCCTTCATTTGGCGATGTACAGTTGGTCACTCCAAGGGTGGCTTATTGATGCCAAAATAAGGTGCAAAAAATGAAGCAAACAAATTTTGATTTATTAAATGTAAACCATTAATTGTGGGGACCATGTGGAAATCTTCTACTGCCTGTTAACAAACAAAACTTGTAATGCCCATTCATGTCCATCTAAAAGGATGGAAGCCATTTAAAATTTTACCCCTTACCGTTCATGCTTTCCATAAGCATTTTGTAGACCTACTTGGGCGATTTTATTCACTTTGTAAATTGTTCTGAGTTGTTTCGGGCCAATTTTGAACATTGCTTTTAACATCTTTACAAATACTAAGTTTGGAGTATACTAGGACGTGCAAGCATCCGTAAAATGTTTTTTTTCACCGTATATGGTAAAGAAAGCTGCATAACAGCTGTCTTGTTGAACTACTTGTTCGGTACTGTGAAGATCGCCAGTTCATGTGTAAATAATAAGAGCTTTTTTTTGGGATATACTTCTGCATTTCTTAATATCCCTGAGATAAAAGAATAAAGCATCCTCAGTTGATTGATTCCTTAGGAGTATGTCGTACATTATGACGCTACTGAGAATTACTATGAACAATTTACAGAACCTAGCGACCACCCACTTGTGCTTGTCGGGCAGTGGTTAGGGGTTTCATTGAATACACACATGGTTGTTGGTTCTATCCTGTGCTCTCTGCTCACCAGTTTCCCATTCCTCTGATTTAAGCACTATCAGACTTACGTGACACGATGAAACCACTGACTTCTTACTTCTTTTCTTCTTACATTGGTACGCCTGCACGAGTTATTGTGTGGATTAAAAATTCATTCAGTCGATACGATATTTAATGGGGCCTTATGCATGGTCCATCGTAAGGATCTAGATTAATACCGAACCTTATATCCTTATCCTTTTCATATTGCTAGCTTTTTTGAGACCCGTAGAGGTGAATAACATAGAAGTGGTTTATCATTCTATTGGCAATGCATTGCTCTATCGGAATGTTACTTGGGTATCTCATCGAATCACACAGAGCTTAAACTTTTATGTGGAGTAAATGATTTTTATTCATAGATTAGGTTTATGTCTCTTGTTGAATTCACCTTCAGCTGGTAGTTAATATCTACCTTAAGCAGTTAATGAATTTGAGAAGAAATGATATAGATCATCCTTTTAAAATGTAGTGTTGAGGTACTTTTATGACGGGGACGTGTTCTCAGAGTAATCAAATTCTTCGGGTGGGAATCTATGTTATCTTATATATATTGTCAGAGCAAGGGAGTGTTATAATCCTTCATTTTTATATCAGAAATGACCTGCGATAGGATTACCTAGGTACTCTGCAGCATCAGTAAATACATTTCCATGGGTGTAGTTGAAATTTAGGTCGTGCAATGTGCGCATTTCTTCTCTTCAATAGAACTTTGTGTGGGCGAGGCTTTGTGTGTAATGTTTTACCTAATTTAATTACCCCAGAATGCCCTAATACGTTTTGGATCAGCTTTATCAGGTTGTACTGTCACAAAAATTCTAGCACCTCTTCTCGAGAACTCTCGTTGTGTCTTCCACTGAAACTCTTTCCACTGCAAAACATATGTAAACGTGGTAATTCAATAATCCTTCAGTTGGCACGAGTAATCCTCTTCCTCTCTCCAACTTGGTTTCTTATTTCATATAGAAGAATTCGAGTGCTGAAGTTTCCATCAACTTAAGCAGTATTAGCTCCAGCCGTACAGTATTGCAATTCCTCGACTCCCAGTCACACCTCCTCAGACTTAGAGAGTGACACCTGTGTATTAAAGATCTTTCATTTGGTCGGCAATCAGGACAGATCTACCTTCCAGAGTCGGACAGATATGCAGCAAAGGCTAATCAGGTAGTCACTGCGCTCCCCTGCCTAGTTTTTCATTGTGTAAAGTATTAAATATGGTGCTGAACTACCACCATACATTGCTGCAATAGCCGCAACGTATTTTGGTGCCTCGTTCCGAGATGAGGAAGTTGGCACCATACTTGTCGGGGCAAGAACGCTCGTGGAACATTCCAGAACAGAGAACTAAGGATATTAGCTAGAATCGTTTCGACTACCATTCAACGACATTCGTGAGGAGGAAACACTCCAGCGTTGGTCGCACTCACATGAAAAAAGTTCGAAGACCTTCGTGTATGATAGATGCAAGAATATCAGTCGAATGCAAGAAGTGCTGGGATCCGTGCAGTGTGATACATGCGATCTCTTGTTATAAAAATATATCGTGCTTATTCAGAATGATGTGAACTGGATAACGTCTGTTCGAAATCGTAGTTTTTGCACCTAAGAGTGACTAGAGTTTGTGGGAGCGGATTGCATCAAATAAGTATGTTGAACAAAAGGAGAGAGCTGCTCAAAAACAATTACTGTTTTTTTTCTTGGCATAGAGACTGCTCGCCATGAAAACTCGTCTGGCTTATCTACAGGATTTTGAGAATAAACGAAAGCTCAGCATAGTCAAAGAAGTATAAAAATATTCATCCCATAAACTACAGAAACAAGCAATCATGATCAGTAGTTCAACGCTTTCTTGGTGACAAACACCAGGTTGTTATTACAGCACTTTTTCATCCACAATAGTTAACATTTTGCTGGTTGCGCTTTGTTCAGATCCTGGAAAGATCAAATTGACATCTAGTCTGCTCAAACAAGCACTTTCGTAGCCTCAGCAGATGAAACTTAGTGCGCAAATTTTTATTTGCTCACAAACAACTTTCTTTACACACTCACCATTTTGAAATAGAACCACAAACATGCTGAGATGTGACCAAAACTGCGCTTCGAACCCCATGTTTTCCTCCGCGTCCGCACCATCTTCATGGCAATTCTTCAGACCTTGTTGGTCGTGGGCGACCCTCATTTTTATAAATCTCACTTTGAGGTTTAAGAGGAACACTTTGACGAAGGATGGAATTAGTGTAATAAACGAAAAAAAGAAGTCAAGAATTGGAGCATTGTGACAACATATAGTGTTAACTACAAGCTACTGCACATTCAAAGCCAATGCACGCAGCCTCAACAATATACGTTCCTAAGAACATTGTGATGCTCTACAACCAACAGTATTTGCAGAAGGTGATAACTTTCCAAGATTTAGAATAATTGCTCAAAAGTTAGTTTCAGAAGATTACAAGCTTACAATGCATTATCCACGGACCTCTCATAGTGGGATCTAATGCCAGCTAGTTGCGAGGTAACTTAGGGCGTCTCCAGGTAGCTGAAAGGGGGTTAATCGCAGACAAAAGCGACATTTGTATTTATGAGGACGTATCTGTGCATGATTGCGTGGATATGTTCTCGTTTATGCAGATCGTATTCCACGCGGCAGTTCGGCAAAAACCTTAATTCAAGTAGTAGGAAAGTATATGGGAGGCGGTTAGGAACCACCTCCAACAAATAAGCTCCACGTCTACTCTAGACGAGACTGAGGAGCTACCCGTAAGTATACCCTGCCCCAACGTTCCGAGCTCAGCAACCTACGCGCGGGCATCAAAAACTAAACAGTAAAATAAGCGGGCCTCATGACCCTGAGCCAAAAAAATCCCCGATTTGGTAGCGTAGGGTACGACGGGTACTGAGAGGTTGTTGAAATCTCAGGGTCATTCTAACCTGTCTAAATCGCAAAAGGCCAAGGCCAAGGATCTGTGCCTACAATGCTCGTGAACTTTCATCTGAGTCCTCCATAAAAGAATTGATCTTACAGGCAAGAAGAATGGGGTACTGCATCATCGGCCTAGCCGAGACGAGACGACGCCACCCATTCAGCGCCGTGTATAACACCGGAGAAGAACTGTTAGTTGGAAGTGGGGACTATAGAAGAGTCGGCGGCGTCGGCGTTCTCGTCAACACGGGTTTGGCCACGAACATCGATGCATTCGAACGAGTAATATAAGCCAGGTCTTTACGATTAAAGAGGTGAGGATAATTACTGGCTTTGATAATCATCATCATCTATGCACAGATATCAAGCTACGACGAAGAGGAAGTTGAAGTGTCCCATGGGATTGGAGAAGCTCTACCGTACGAAGGCCATGCATTCTGCTAGGTCATCATTGGAAATTTTAATACTAAACCTACCAGAAGAGAGCCTGAAAAATGCCACATTGTTACCCACCGATTACAACGGAACAAGCAGGATGAGCGCCTGGAAGAGTTTATCTATCACGACGACCAAGGGCATCCTCGGTAGCTTGGAAATTTAAAGACGTCATTCTCAACACTGAGCGTTTGAGTCTCCCATAAGAGAGTACCATAATGAGATAGACCTCATCACAGTAAATTGAAAGTTTTGCCTAACCGGTCTTGCTGTTTTCTTGAAGTTTTAAACTAGTTCGGACCATCACTTCTTTCGTACAATATTTCATTTCTCACGAAAAGGAGAAAAGGTGCTAAATTCGGACAGTAGTTCCAAAATTGCCATGAATTGGAACTTTATTTAGCTCATTATTAGGCTGCCAGGAAAAAGCCGTTCCTGATAAAATCGTTGTGAAATACAATAGGCTCATCCAAAATGTTTACATTAGAGCTAAGCAAAGCAGGGAGTTCGAAAGCCACCATGTGAAGTCTCTCTACAGAAACACTCGAGCTGATAAGCTGATATGAAGTTGCACAACTTAAAAAGAAACCACCAACTCACGTATGAACCTGCAAAGCAATGTGGAAAGCCTGTAAAAGAAGATTTTAAAGATGGAAGAGCAGCAGCTACGATCGAATTTGCAGAGATTAGTAAAAGCATTCACACAGCTCAACGAAAGTTTGCCATTTACGAAACCATGAAGATAGCAGTCCGACACCTACGCGGAACATTTACAGCTTCCAGAAAAGCAATGGAGGAGATCACTCACGACTATTTCTCGGATCTCCTTAATAGTCACGTCTTCCTGCCCTCATATGAAATAAAAGAAGAT